CCGATTGACCCTTCGTGTAGCGCTTGTGATTCCTGGATTCCGGAGAGTATTTGTCATGTTCTCTTTAACTGTCCCACTGCTAAAGAGTAAAGAGACTTGGGAGCTGTCCCATATTCCTCTCCCCCCGTCTGGTTTCTCAACTAATTCGGTATTCTTGAATGTACATCACCTTCTGGCTTGTAGCCAAAATCGTTCTTTACCTCCAAATTCCAGGCGTGCCTTTCCCTGGATCCTTTGGCATCTATGGAAGGCTCAGAATGCTCTTGCCTTTGAGCATATCAAGTACGATCCCAGAGCATTCTCAATAAAGCATTGGAGGATGCGGATATATGGTTTTCTTTAAATGGATCACATTGCGTGAATATATCCTCAACAACTCAAGCTTCGGCTCCCCAGGTTGACCTTGTTCCTTGGCAAAAACCTCCTCCAGGCCTGGTCAAATGTAATATGGGAGCGGTGTGGGATAATGGAAACAATGATGGGGGAGTTGTTTGGCTGGTTAGGGATCATACGGGTGGGGTGCTCTACCATAGCAGGAGATCTTTTAAGTTGCACTCTGTCTTAGAAACAGAATTGATGTGTCTTATCTGGTCAATTGAGTCCCTTATAGATCTCAGGTTCACTCGTGTCATCTTTGAAGCTAACTTTGATCATGCCAAGGAAGCCTTGCTGCATCCTCACCGTTTCCCCCACATCAAACGTATGCTTGACCACACTTATCTCCTTCTTGGTTCGATTGATTGGTGGAGTTTGAACCACACCTATGCCTCTGGTAATCAAGTTACCCTTGCAATTGCTGAGAGTGTTATCAAAGACGGTCGTCACCAATCCTACATTGCAAGGAATGGGCCGAGTTGGCTTCAACAGATTGTTTCGGCGGAAGCATTATGAGCTCGAATTCTTCTCGGTCTGGATTCCTAAGGTTTTTGGAGCCATAGGCTGGTCTGGTAATCTTGGTATATCTCCTTGGTCGAGTTTGGCTCTTCATGGTATGGTTGTATGGTACCTACAACCATACCATGTTAAACCTTGTTGGTCTTCTTGTCTTTCCTTAAAACCTTGTTGGTCTTCTTGTCTTTCTCCTTTTATATGTTCCTGGGTTAAACTTTTGTAGCTCCCTTTAATTTTCAGCTACTTAATAAATCATGAAGTGTTAAAAAAAAACTACTGAAATCAAAACCATATCAAACCATTTGTAATAGATTTTAGGTCGGATTTTTGGTGAATAACC